GGGGCCGCTATGCCTTTCAACATCAGGCCCCGTGGTAATATATGTGGCCGGTGAAACAGGGACAGGAGCAGAAGGTTTGTCAGAGTGGACGGAGTGGTCCAAACATCCTGAATCCTCAACAGTGGACAACTGTGGCTCCTCACGTGCGACTGGAGTTGTAGTCATGGTCAGGGAAACCTCTTGACCCCACAGCGAGCTGTCAGGGTCAACCATTTAAACATGAATACGGCCATCAGGTGTCACTGCCCTGTCTGACAGTAGTCTTGTTGCCTCTGCCACTGTAGTGGGTATCCACTTTGGGTCTCCTTGCATAGCTTCCTTTTATGACATCTCTGCTGCATAGTCTGCATGTAGTTGACCCAGCGCTGTTCACAGTTTGCTTTTCATCACTAGCCCAGCTCTGCCCCATAGTTGAGTTTGGAGTGGTATATTGAGAGATTAAAAACTGAGCCACCATGGTAGCCAAATCATCCTCTATCCTTTGTAGTCTGTACCATTCTGTCTGCCTGCCAATTTGACGCAGGGTGGCAAGGAGCAACTGTGACTTATTGCATAGTGATTATAAACTCATTAAACTCTTCTGAAGTGAAATACAGGGTGTTGTCTGACAGAATTGTTTCCAGTGCTGCATATGTTGCAAATAACAATGTAGTGCTTCAGCCATGACCTTTGAAGAAGTGGATGATGTTATAATGAATTCTAGCCACTTTGAGTAGGCATCCACTATGTCCAAAGGAACAAGTAATAGGTTTATTCCATGTTGAAAAGAGAAGAAATAAAACACAACATTTCAGTCAAGTGACTTCTTCCTCACACCTGATTCTTTCAGGAAAAATTTCCTGTTCACACAAACGCATAGAAGATAATATTAAATGCAAAATCCACAGTCATCCCCCACCCTGGCAAACAGAGGAACTAAGTTGCAGAATTGTTTTGCGCTGGTAACAGAGCACTTGAACTTGGCAGATGGGGTAACTGGAGGTCAAAGTCACCATGCATGGCCACGTGATCACCAGAAAAACAAGGCACTATATCTTGTGAACGAAAGCAGCACAAACGCTACTTTCAACGGCACAAATCAGCACTAACACAGCAGTAACGATTGAGACAGGTCCAGTTCTCCTACAACGTTGTAGGGGGGCTGAGTGACATCACACCCCCAAAAAAGAAGGCGCTATATCTCGGGAAAGAAAGCAGCTGGGAACTTTCTTTCAACAGCACAAACAGGCACAAACGTAGCACTAATGAATGAGACTATGATGTGTATGAGTGATGTCACGACCCCGAAAAAACAAGGCAGGTCCAGTAAGTCACAACCTCCAGTCAGCCGGGTTCTAAAGAATCTGTGAGGCCTTCTTACAGGAGAGGAGTCAGAGACCTCAAACAGGGTCTGAAGAGCTCTGCAGTCTGCACTGTGAGAAACAGAAGCTCTTCTGTTTGACTGATGAAGAGCCTGTCTGCCTTGTTTGTTAATCTTCAAGAAACCACAAAAAACACGAGCTCTGTCCTGTGGAGGAGGCTGCAGTGGATCATAAGGTGAGAAAATATTGTATATTAAAAAAGATATTCAAAGTAAAATTTTACATCTTATCCTAAAAAATAAATCGCCAGATGTTATAATCATGCCAGTTTATAAACAAGGTTGGTTACAAATATATTCACAGATGGTTAGCATTTCTGCCTCGCAGAACAGGGGCCCTGGTGTGCTATCTGTGGAGTTTGTATGTTTTCCTCGTGTCCATGTGGGTTTCTTCAGAGTGCTTCCTTAGAGTAGGTGTCTGTCTGCCCTGAGATGGACCGGTGTTCTATCCAGTGTGTAACCAGGCTTTGCACATGTTGCTTGCTGGGATTTGCTTACAGCTCTACCGCAGCTCTGAACTGAAAGAAGCAGTTAAAAGATGGATGAATTATCTCCATGAATTAGTAATTAATACACCTGTAAGTTTCAGTGAATAAAG